AACATGTGCATTTAGATTTTTTATATCTAGGTTGAAAGACGGGTTTAAGATTTTCCCTCCTAATTTTGATATAAACTTTTAGATTTTTTATGCTCATAACGGTTTTTTCTTATCTCGATCCTTTCATATTAGTGCGAGTGTTCTTTCTTTGCAATTTTAATTTCTGGTATTGACTGAAGTACGGCGGCGATAGCTACGAAGTTGGGCAACAGTTACAAAAATGGCGTCGATGGCGATAATTGGTTTGATTCAAATCTTGCTTTTTTAAATTACATCTGTGCGGTGATTTTTTCTATATTGCTGTTTTTTCTTTGTATTTTTCTTTTATTTTAATTTAAGTGCTTTGTAACTTTCTACAAAAATAAAAAAAACCCCAATAATAATAATTATACACAAATTAATAAACTTTTATTATTTATTGATGTAGGAGTGTATTATTAAAGTAAATTCTATTTTCAATATAGGGTTCATTAAGAAAGTTATCTATGTAAAAAATTATAGGGCAAATTATACTAACAGTCCTTATAATTTGGGACTTGTATCACTTTGATTCCTGACTTTTCAATTGTGACATATTTAACCTTGTATTTTGAATCTGATTCCAAATAAAGACAATTAAAGATACTATTGCTTAATTTTAAGGGCAAAATCGTTAATTTAATAAAATATAAACTAATTTGACAAAAATAATGTCAAAAAAATATTTTTAAATTTTAAAAATTATTTCTACACACCAAAGATAAAATTATGTAAAATTGATAAATTTTTTGGACATTTATTTATTTATTTATTTTCACCAAATTAATTTTTATTATGTGTTTGGATGATGATTATGTAATGAGTGGTTGTTAAGATTTTAATGTGTAATCGATATATTTAATATAAAAATATTTTTAGTTTTGGATTTTTTAATTTAATGAATTTGTTTAATAACGATATCAAAATTGTCGCCATATTTGACTTTTTTAAAAATAGAAACTAATTTAATGAAAATAAAAACAACCACATGATCATCATTCAAACACATAATAAAAATTAATTTGGTAAAAAAAATTAAATGTCTAAAAAAATTATCAATTTTATATAATTTTATCTTTAGTGGGTAAAAATAATTTTTAAAAATAAAAAAATATTTTTTTGACATTTACTTTTGTCAAATCAGTTTATATTTTATCAAATTGACGATTTTACCCTTGAAATTAAGTAATGATATGTTCAATTGTTTTTATTTGGAACAAAATTCAAAATTCAGGGTTAAATGTGTCACAATTGAAAAGTCAGAAACCAAAGTGACGCAAGTCCCAAATTGTAGGGACTATTAGTACAATTCGCCCAAAATTATATTGATAGAGTATCCGCAGACTGCAGCCACTTGATCAAATCATTTTTATTTTTAAAAATATATATGAACACTTTATTCTCAAAATCACATTTGTTGCATATATTTTTCAAAATAAATTTGATTAGATCATATAACCATGGTAATTTTCTATATAAACAATTACATTGATCAAGTATCAATAGCCAACACTATGCCTTTGTTTGAGATATGGGTTGGTTTTTTTGGCTATTTTAGCTTGAGGTTAAAAAGTCTCGTTTAGGATGGGTTTTTTTGGTTGTTTTGACTTTTGTGAGAAAAAAAATAAAATGATTATGGTTTGAATGCGACATTTTATCTTATTAATTTTTTAACATATTTTTATCTTTTTATGACTATTTTAACCCAAACCATTCATACCAAACATAGCCTATATTCTCTTACCTCAAATTATACCCTATCGTAATTAAACATATACTAATGTATTTCTAAATATTACATATTCTCCTAACCTAAAATTTTCAATCCAGACTTCTGTCTATAAGCCTTGGATTTCATGTGTTCAAAAAAAAGACAAAGCAAAAAAATGTTATTGGCTTCGTTTGGGAAGTCGGATCCAGCTTATTTTAGTCGCAACAAAAAAAAAATACGTTTTTTAATCCAATAAGATAAAACATCACATACAACTCATAATTATTATATTCTTTCTCTTACAAAACGTTAAAAAAATCAAAAAGTCATTTCCAAACGAAACTTTTTAATCCCAGACTAAAATAGTCAAAAAATCAACCCACTTTTTAAACCAACCCATTGTCCATTGACTTTTACGCTATATTGGGTCATATAATTAGATAGTGCACAAATAAATGTAATTTATTTTATATTTAATCTAATACTAATATACTAAGAACCTAATCATTTAATCCCAATGTACTTATAATAATCTCACATAACTGATCCAAGGATCAAACATCACGATACGAATATGATGCTACCTATTTCAAAAGTGCAAAGAACAATTTAATTACAGGAAGAAGAATGTGGAGAATTAAGAGGAACAACACAAATTAAAAATGGAAAAGAATTGGCTTGGGCTTTTTTTTCTTTTTCTTGTGTGTGTGTGTACAGAGAGAGTGGATCATCAGAAGGTTTTGTCAATAGGCTTAGAAGTCCTATCATGAGAAGCAGAAACACTGGGGTTGTAGCAACCTGGGACATGCAACAAACTTCTCATAGCAGATTGCCTGCTCTTTGGAAATACTTTTCTTCCGAATCCTCTTCCTTTCCTCTCTTTTCTTATTGATTTGTTCTCCATTTCCTGCCGACCAACCAAACACACAAACATTCATTTAATACAAAATTTTATAAGTATTAATAATGTCTTTAATAAACCAATGCTTGTATTATATTATTAGTTATCATAACATTTTATTTCAATAAAAAAAAAAAAAAAAAAAAAACAATTTACATAATTGATTTGAAAAAAAAAAAAAAAGACCAATGCCATGTGTTTTGAGACCTTAAGCCATAATATATGAGCCTCATTGGTATCCTCATCCTTCTATTACAATGGACCAATGCCATGTGTTTTTTCTGTATTTTGGTTTTTCCCTTATTTGATAATCACAAGCAATAAAATTTGTAACTTAAACACCTATTCCTTCAATTTGTGGGTATGCCGTTATGAATTACATGTTTCATTTCTGCCCATTTGACTCTAATTTTTTTTTTTTTTTTATGTATTTCTTCCATGTAAATAAAATCTTAAACCAACATTTAACTGCTGGGAGCATATCGCACTTCTCATCAACTTTTTTTTCCCGATTATGTAATTTGATTTCAATTTACACAGATTTGATGAATTACTAATTAATTGATTTGGAAAAAAAAAATTCTTCTTTCATTTACCCTTTTTCTAGTGCAAACAAATGTTTAAAATTGATTGACACAAAAAAAGTGTAAAGTAATGGACAAATGTGAGCTGTATAGTGAATTTGAATTGCCCAAAGCTTTTCGAGTTAGCTTTTTTTTTGGGTGGGTAAATTTTTTGAGTTAGCTTAATTACCTATTCACTCAATCTGTTACGCTGTTAACAATCAACTATTGTTATAAACGTAGATCATTATTCCTTCAATCTGTTATGCTGTTATAAATTAACTGTTACATTTCAGCGAATATATGTGTATCGCAATCATAACCCCAATATGTGGTGTTGTTGTAGTTATGTGCTTGGTCTATGTGTAGTAATATGGCTTCCTCTTTTTCCACGTCGACATGGCCACAACACATGTGTCCTTATGGCTATGGCCATTGTTTTGTGAAGGTATTCAGATCTCACAAAAATCCTGGCCGTGCATATTATGTTTGCCCCCGGCCCGTGGTGAGTTGTAACAAATGATTATTTGTCACTCCATATGTTTGCAATTAATTCGGTAAAAAAAATTAAATGTCTAAAAAAATTATCAATTTTATATAATTTTATCTTTAGTGGGTAAAAATAATTTTTAAAAATAAAAAAATATTTTTTTGACATTTACTTTTGTCAAATCAGTTTATATTTTATCAAATTGACGATTTTACCCTTGAAATTAAGTAATGATATGTTCAATTGTTCTTATTTGGAACAAAATTCAAAATTCAGGATTAAATGTGTCACAATTGAAAAGTCAGAAACCAAAGTGACGCTAGTCCCAAATTGTAGGGACTGTTAGTGCAATTCGCCCAAAATTATATTGATAGAGTATCCGCAGACTGCAGCCATTTGATCAAATCATTTTTATTTTTAAAAATATATATGAGCACTTTATTCTCAAAATCACATTTGTTGCATATATTTTTCACGATAAATTTGATTAGATCATATAACCATGGTAATTTTCTATATAAACAATTACATTGATCAAGTATTAATAGCCAACACTATGCCTTTGTTTGAGATATGGGTTGGTTTTTTTGGCTATTTTAGCCTGAGGTTAAAAAGCCTAATTTATGATGGGTTTTTTTTGGTTGTTTTGACTTTTGTGAGAAAAAAAATAAAATGATTATGATTTGAATGTGACATTTTATCTTATTAATTTTTTAACATATTTTTATCTTTTTATGACTATTTTAACCCAAACCATTCATACCAAACATAGCCTATATTCTCTTACCTCAAATTATACCCTATCGTAATTAAACATATACTAATGTATTTCTAAATATTACATATTCTCCTAACCTAAAATTTTCAATCCAGACTTCTGTCTATAAGCCTCGGATTTCATGTGTTCAAAAAAAGGACAAAGCAAAAAAATGTTATTGGCTTCGTTTGGGAAGTCGGATCCGGCTTATTTTAGTCGCAACAAAAAAAAAAAATACGTTTTTTAACCCAGTAAGATAAAACATCATATTCAACTCATAATTATTATATTCTTTCTCTTACAAAATGTCAAAAAAATCAAAAAATCCTTTCCAAACGAGACTTTTTAATCTCATACTAAAATAGTCAAAAAGCCAACCCACTTTCCAAACCAACCCATTGTCCATTGACTTTTACGCTATATTGGGTCATATAATTAGATAGTGCACAAATAAATGTAATTTATTTTATCTTCAATCTAATACTAATATACTAAGAACCTAATCATTTAATCCCAATGTACTTATAATAATCTCACATAACTGATCCAACAATCAAACATCACGATGCGAATATGATGCTACCTATTTCAAAAGTGCAAAGAACAATTTAATTACAGGAAGAAGAATGTGGAGAATTAAGAGGAACAATACAAATTAAAAATGGAAAAGAATTGGCTTGGGCTTTTTTTTCTTTTTCTTGTGTGTGTGTACAGAGAGAGAGGGGATCATCAGAAGGTTTTGTCAATAGGCTTGGAAGTCCTATCATGAGAAGCAGAAACACTGGGGTTGTAGCAACCTGGGACGTGCAACAAACTTCTCATAGCAGATTGCCTGCTCTTTGGAAATACTTTTCTTCCGAATCCTCTTCCTTTCCTCTCTTTTCTTATTGATTTGTTCTCCATTTCCTGCCAACCAACCAAACACACAAACATTCATTTAATACAAAATTTTATAAGTATTAATAATGTCTTTTATAAACCAATGCTTGTATTATATTATTAGTTATCATAACATTTTATTTCAATAAAAAAAAAAAAAAACAATTTACTTAATTGACTTGAAAAATTAAAAAAAAAAAAAATTATATAATTGACTCAAGTAGTTCTTTCCTTTACACACAAACTTTGTGCATCCATATATGAATGAAAGCATAATAATATTGATACCGAAAATAAGAAGAAGAAGGATGGAAAAAAATCATGTGTTATATAAGCACCCAAGTCATATTTGATCATCTTCAAATCCAAGTTATCTCAAAGAATTTAGAAGATTTCAAGTATTTAGACTACAAAAGTTTGAAAATGGTAGTATATATTATCATAATATTGTATGTTTATTTAGCATATTATTATTATTATTATTTGTCATTGCATCATATACTTGACTAGTCAATGCCATGATACTTCAGTCAATTTTACATTTGAATTATTTATTCATAATTTTTTTATACTAGAAACATGTAGTTGTGGCAACTTTGTATTACCTCATTTGATTTGGGAGATGCATGGCACTCATCACCTCTTGTCTTGGTTTCCTTCATTTTCCCAGCACTATTATCTGCAACATAGATACAATTTTAATGCCCTTGAAGCCATCATGGTTATTCGTTTTGAAAAAAAAAAAAAAAAGAAAGAAAGAAAAAAAGTTATTTGTTTTCTTCTTTTGGTGGAAAAACTGCAACTATTGGTAAGAGAGAATTGCAGTTTTGCTGACTTTGTTGTTGCTTGTTTTCTTGTTACAAACAAAGAATAAAGTATGTAACATAAATTTCCATCCAAAATTTGGGAAAAAATGAAATCAAATCAAATGATTTCACTTGTTTTGTATTGAAAATATCTCTTCTTTTCTTTTGTTTTTTGTTTTAATGAAGTGGAATGTTAACAAAACGCAACCATAATAATATGTAGCATTTTCAATTAAAAGCGTTAGTTAATATTGTGGTAATGAAAAATAAAATCCCTTCAATGTTTATCATTAAAAAAAAAACGTCGTTCGAACTTACCATCATTCTGGAAATTATCGTCTGAGTCGCAGTCGATGCAATAATCTCTAAAACTTGGAGACCCAATCCACAATGAACCATCAGTATTAGAAATTATTCCTTCATCTTCTTCGCTTTCTTCATTGTCTTTGTTATCACCCGTCTCTATAGTGGCCTTGGCCTTGGCCTCCTCATTTTTGCTTTCGACCTCTTTTCGACATTTCTCTTTTTCTTTTTCTTTTTCTTTTTCCTCCTCCTCACTTTGCTTCTCTATCCCGCTATCAGCGTCAACCGCCTTCGGGCATTGTTTTAGCTGTAATGCTAAATCCTTCATAGAATCTGTGCTGTTGTGGCTACTATTGGAATCAACAACATCCTCCTCAACACCTTTTTTTAAAAGTTGTTTGCTAGAAGAAGGGGTAGCATCCGAAACAATACGATCATTTCTACACAATTCATCAAATTTCCTCCGAATGGGGTTAGAGCTGCGTGCGCCTTCGTTGTCGGGTACGCCGGCTAGGCCATACCTCGACATGCCGCAACCCATTGAAAATGGAGGAGGAGAATACAAAAAGAGAAAGAGGTTGAAGAAACACACATGAGAGAGGTGGCATTTGAGATATTACAGGAATTTAGGCTTTATTGTAAGAATTTTTTTAAAATGAGGGATGCAGCAAGAGTTTCGGGTTGAAAGATGGATTTGACTACCAAAGACAAGAGAGTTGGCATGCTTGTATATTTTAATTACTTGGGTTGTGTTTGGTTGTTTCAAAAAAACATATGAATTGAAAAATGTAAAACGATTCTTTACATTATATATATAGATTAGAAGTGTTTGGTTGTAAAAATAAAATAACTCAAAATTGAAATTAAAAAAAATGATAATAATTGTATAAATATTTTATCTCCATTTGTATTATAGTTACAATCCAATCCAACCAATCTCTTTGAGTTAGTGCGATCGATTTTTAAAAGCAAATTTGATTTGATTGTACGAGCGTAGAATAATCTTCTCATGTAATTCTGTTGATCAAGTTTGTGCTCCTCCAAACATTGTTGCTTTACTTCCTGAAAACACAAACGTGAGGTAGCCGGCGGATGTGTGTCGGATACCTCTCCGATACCTAAGTCAGCAAAATAGACAAATAGATAAAAGCTCTGTGTATTCGAGAATCAAAATTATGATACATGTACGTAGGTTCTGTCATAAGCTTTTATAGTTTCTGCTTGGCACAATCCTAGTAGAACTCTTATTCCTCAATGCAGAGTCCTCCTAAGAATCACACACCCTACTCACTACAAACCAAGTGAGATGGTTTACACAATCCCAGTAGGACTTTGTTTTCCTTAGCAGAATACTTCTAAGAGTCTCATCACTGCAAGCCAAGTGAGATGACTACCACGATTGAATAACAGTATAACCGTACTAACACTAGCCCTTTGTTATACTTAAATCTGGTGCCTTCATACGCAACACCTAGCTTGGCTCTTATTCTCTTGTACCTCAGTTGTCTATTCAAACCGAGCTAACTGCTACAGTCTCTGACCGAGCTAACAAGGACGAGGTCCAACTTGCGAAGCCCAAACAACCCAGTCCATAGCTCGGTCTGAACTGCACCTGGCCCAACTTCTTTAGTCTTTAGACCGAGCTACAGCAGCTCTTATCTTGGTCCGACGTGTGGCCTAACTTCCAGAGAAGCCTTTAGCTCGGCCTAATTTATTTATAAATTACCCTCTCAATTGCCCCTTAATTCCATCTGCACAACATGATATGGGATTACTTGTTTCCAACTGAACTCAAAGTTAGCCTTCAGCCGAGCTAAAGTGTTACCGGGCTACCAATTTGTCCGGTCAAAAAATGTATTTTCAGTCCCTGCACATCTGAATCGCTTTCTATTCCCTTGGACACGTGACAGGACCCCATTGGCCAAGAATAGCTGTTACAGCCGTCTTCGTACTTCGCGAATTTTGAACAGTCCCGTCCAAATCCTTGCTTTATACAAAAAACTTCATTTTTGAATTAGAGACACCACTGTTCATCTTCATTTCTTGCCTTCTAAGTTTCCATCCTAGCATCTGAAAAGCTGTGTGTTTTCGTCGGCAGCCCTACAGCCTTGACCTTCGTCCCCTCGTCTCAAAGCTATAAGTGACTCAAATTCTTTCTCCTTCTTTGTTTTCACTTTTGCGAATGTGTATAGTATAGCAATATCTACACATGTTTTCTGAAACACATTCTTGTAGTTTTAACACAAATCTTCAAAACTCACACCCAGACTTCTTAATCACACTTTATTTGGATATCACGATCAATCCATTTATGAAATCCCTTTGATCCAGAATAGCACCACGACCAAACTAGGAACCTGTTTGTATTAGGTGTGTACTCGACCAAACTAGAAAGCTTTCCCAGTGACCGAGCTAAATCTTGGGACCAATCCAGCTCTCCGACCTAGCCAAAATCAAACTAAGAATCGGCTGCAACCTCTTTAGCCGGACTAGGGTTTTTTGCGTTTATCTTTTTTCTTTTTTAGCCCGGTCAGTGATCTGGGCATAACACTTGTTATTTCTACTTTGCAAACTTGACTAGTGCTGGCTAGGCACGCCTTTGCACCCTGCGCCTAGGCAGCTCTGCTCAACCGAACCAACTAAGGCCCCAGTCACACCGAGCTAGGTTTAACTTATTCACAACCTTAAGTTAATCATGGGGAAATACCGATTTTTAGTAAACTCACCTGGGGCTATTGCCGAGTTCCGCAAGGACTACAATATCCCTGATGATGTTCATCTCAGTTTAGCTGAACTAGATACCACTCCATGGGGAAAACCGGGCTTCGTTCCCTTCACCGTCATTTCTATTGTAGAGGCCGGACTCCGATTCCTTGTTTGGCCGCTATTATGCGAATTCCTTAGGTAGACTAGAATATGCCCAACCCAACTTAGCACAAATTCTTACAAAATAATAAATGGCATCGCCGAGCTAAATCGCCGACTTGGCCTCAACCTCGGTTTAGCCGAGCTATTTCACCAATACTCACTTGGCCAGAATGAAGACGGCTGGATACATTATTTAAGAATAAGACGCCGTCGAGAGAAAATAATAAAAAACACACCGGATAAAGACTTAAACGATGATGACTTTTTCTGGGTTTCTGGTAACTTCGACGACCAGGAAGCCCAAATACCGACTACAACATAAATTGGATCAAAGGGACTGCTAGTAAGGACACCTCGGTTCTTACTTCTGTATGTTTTTCATCCTTGCTGCTTGTAAGTTTCTCACCGCGCTAACTATTTGCCTTTTTCCTTAGCAGACTTGAATTAGCTCAAGTCTCAATACCAATACCCTAATTTGGACGCTCTCCGCGCCGCACTTCGATACCGCCATCAAGGTTGGGCCCGAGCTACTCAATTTTGAATTGACATACAGATACAACAGTAGGAGGAAGACCAGGGTAACAGATTTCCTTCTGGAACCTTCACCAGAACCAGATCCAACTCTTCCCTAAATCAACCTTGTTCCCTTAACCGAAGAGCAAGAAATGGCAAAGTGCCGAGCTGTCCAAGCTTTGATCACCGAAACAACAGCTCAAGCTAGCGGGGATCAAACCGTGACATCAAAAGCTGGCCAAACACAGGAAGCCGTGGTAGCCTTCCCATCAGCCCGGCCTTCGTTATTTCGGTCGCATAAGTGCGCTCGTACTCCCTCGACAGAGCCAAAACACCTTGTGGATGAAGATGACATCCTGCTCCCCCAATCCACACAACCGAGCCCAAAGCCCGCGGGTTTTGACCGGGCTACCCCTTCTAAATGGGCCCCAAAGATAACATACAAGAACCGGCCTGTTTCCAGCACCGATTCGGTGGTAGCAGACAAGGACCACTCGTTCGCTTTCAATCTCGCCAAAAGCGTGTGTCTGCCTGCCGACATGGAGCACCACGATCACCTCACCGAGCTGAAGGCCATCCATTCGGCTACTAAGTCAATGGTGCTGGTAAGTGTTCCCCTAACTGTCATCCATTAATCAATAACTATGTCACGCCCCCAGTAGTTTGGTGCCGTGATGGCCAGTAATCCGAGATTACCGAAGGCCGACTTACAAAATTCACACACAATCAGAGTACAATATACGGGGCTCACAAGTGCGGAAGCAATAATCTAAAATACAAGTGGTCCATAAGAGCAGTGCATAGTCAAATGGAATGGCAATGGTGCTGGTAAGTGTTTCCATAATTGTCATCCATTAATCAACAACTATTTGCTCAGTTTTTGTTCATAACTGCCACCTCTTTTGTAGGCCATGCAAAAGAACCACATCGCTCACAAGCGAGTTTTGGAGCTTCGTAAGACAGCACGGCTGGCCGTGGCAGATGCCAATGCCAAGATAGCCGAGCTACAAAAAGTGAAGGAAAAAATGACCGGGCTCGAATCTGAAGTCGCTTTACTCACCAAGCTGGTCAACTTGGCGGAGGCGGACAAGCAAAAGGCCTTGGCCGAGCGGAAGGACCGCTATCTGCGTGAGGTGGCTAAGCTCGAGAAGAAAAAAGACGCCGAGACAGCCGAGCTGAAGAAGAAGATGGAAGACGCGGAGGACTGCGGTTATAAGGAAGGCAAAGCCACATACGTTTTGCAGTGCGAAGCTGCCAAAGATATTTTCTTCAAGTATGGGTGGAAGGAAGTCACCCTCAAGCTCGATCAAGGGAAAGAAACCGAGGTATTCTAGAATCCTCATCCTCAATTCATCTCGAGCTATATGGCAGAATATGCCCACATCATCTAACAGAAGTTTTTACAATAAGGGGAGGAGGAAGAGTCCCCAGAGTCAAACAACGCCCCGCCTCCTGCCAGAGATCAAGGTCACCAGACTGCTCAATCAACTCGGGTGGAGCCACTGGCGCCAAGCACGGTTGAAAACGTGCCTACGACCGACCTTCCTGCTGGGACCGGGATGCCGAGTGGTGAAGCTCGGGTTGACCTTGATGCAGACTTGGACGATCTGTTTGCCTGATTTTTCTTTTACTGTCAAGAATTTGTAACCGGGCTAAGGCCCCTCCTCTGTACTGTGAATTTTGGAATGGAATGAAATGTGTTTTTTCTTGAACTCTTCTTTCGGTTATGCTCTTCTTTGTAATTTGTCTTCTTTTTTGTGGCCGAGATATCCATCTAGGCTCAAGAGTTTTGTAATCTATTTGGTTATACCTGCCAAGTCTCTTCAGCCTAGATCCTTATCTCGGTTGAGGAGAACTCAAAGTTGGTTTTTCTAGCCAACCTTTTCAGTCTAGATCCTTATCTCAGCTAAAGAGTACTCAAAGTTGGTTATTCCTGCCAACCACTCTTCAGCCTAGATCCTCATCTCAGCTGAAGAGTACTCAAAGTTGGTTATTCCTGCCAACCACTCTTCAGCCTAGATCCTTACCCTGGCTGAAGAGTACTCAAAGTTGGTTTTTTCCGTCAACCTCTCTTCAGCCTAGATCCTTACCCTGGCTGAAGAGTACTCAAAGTTGATTTTTTCTGCCAACCTCTCTTCAGCCTAGATTCTTATCCTGGCTGAACAGTGCTCAAAATTGGTTATTCCTGCCAACCTCTCTTCAGCCTAGATCCTTATCTCGGCTAAAGAGTGCTCAAAGTTGATTATTTCTGCCAACCTCTCTTCAACCTAAATCATTATCCTGGCTAAAGAGTGCTCAAAGT